GAGGGGTTTGGGGACGTTTGGGGGCATTTGGGGACATCTCGGGGACATCTGGGACCTTCTGGGGACCTCTTGGGGACATTGGGGGACACCTCGGGACAGGTCCGGGACCACCTGGGGACACCTGGGGACATCTGGGGACACCTTGGGGACCTTCGGGGACCTTCTGGGACCATTTGGGGACATTTTGGGGACATTTTGGGGACACCCTGGGACACCCAGGGGACCTCTTGGGGACACTTTAGGACATTTTGGGACCTTCTGGGGACATTTGGGACATCCTGGGGACACCTTGGGACATCTGGGGACATTTCTGGGACCATTTGGGGACATTTTGGGGACATTTTGGGGACACCCTGGGACACCCAGGGGACCTCTTGGGGACACTTTAGGACATTTTGGGACCTTCTGGGGACATTTGGGACATCCTGGGGACACCTTGGGACATCTCGGGGGCATCTGGGGACACCTTGGGGACATTTTGGGGACATTTTGGGACCTTCTGGGGCATTTTGGGGACATTTAGGGACACCTCGGGACAGGTCCTGGGTGATTTGGGGACATCTGGGGCCACCTGGGGACACCTGGGGAACTTCTGGGGACACTTTGGGGACATCTGGGGACACCTTGGGGACCTTCGGGGACCATTTGGGGACATTTTGGGGACATTTTGGGGACATTCTGAGGACACCTTGGGACACCCAGGGGACCTCTTGGGGACACTTTTGGACATTTTGGGGACATTTTTGGGACATCCTGGGACCTTCTGGGGACCTCTTAGGGACATTCGTGGACATTTTGGGGACAAGTGTCCCCAAGATCTGGGGACATCTGGGACACCCGGAGGAGCCCTTGGGGACATTTGGGGACACCTGGGGACATCCAGGGGACATCTGGGGACATCCGGAACACCTGGGACCACCTGGGCTTCTTCTGGGCCACCAGTGACCCCTCCTGGGCCACCTGGGGACATCCTGGGGTTTCTTCTGGGCCACCTGTGACCCCTTCTGGGCCACCTGGGCACCTTCTGGAACCTTCTGGGCCACCTGGGGACCTCCTTGGCCACCTGGGACCTCCTGGGCCACCTGGGCCCCTTCTAGAACCTTCTGGGCCACCTGGGGCAATTCTTGGGCCACCTGGGGACCTTCTGGAACCTTTAGGTTCACCTGGGGTTCTTCTGGGCTACCTGGGGACCTTCTGGAAACATCTGGGTCACCTGTGACCCCTCCTGGGCCACCTGGGCACTTTCTAGAACCTTCTGGGCTACTTGGGGACTTTCCAGTACCTTCTGGGTTTCTTCGGGGCCACCTGGGGACCTTCTGGAACCTTTAGGTTCACCTGGGGTTCTTCTGGGCTACCTGGGGACCTTCTGGAACTTCATGGGCCACCTGGGGACCTTCTGGAACCTTCTGGGCCACCTGTGACCCCTCCTGGGCCACCTGGGGACCTTCTGGAACCTTCTGGTTCACCTGGGGTTCTTCTGGGCTACCTGGGGACCTTCTGGAACTTCATGGGCCACCTGGGGACCTTCTGGAACTTTCTGGGCCACCTGTGACCCCTCATGGGCCACCTGGGAACCTTCTAGAACCTTCTGGGTCACCTGGGGAGCTCCTGGGCCACCTGGGGACCTTCTGGAACTTTCTGGGCCCCCTGTGACCCCTCATGGGCCACCTGGGAACCTTCTAGAACCTTCTGGGTCACCTGGGGAGCTCCCTGGCCACCAGTGACCCCTCCTGGGCCACCTGGCACCTTCTAGAACCTTCTGGGCCACCTGTGACCCCCTCCTGGGCCACCTGGGCACCTTCTGGAACCTTCTGGGCCACCGGTGACCCCTCCTGGGCCACCTGGGCACCTTCTGGAACCTTCTGGGCCACCGGTGACCCCTCCCTCCCCTCCTTTCCCCCGCCCAGGCGTCGGCCATGTCGTCGGCGCTGGTCCTGGCCGTCTACATCCTGACCTTCACCGTCGGCTTCCCGGCCAACATCTTCACCTTGGCCGTGCTGGCGGCCAAATCGCGGCGCCGCCCGTCGGCGCTGACCACGGCCGAGCTCTTCCTGCTCAACCTGACGGCCGCCGACCTCCTCCTCCTCCTCTTCCTCCCGTTCAAGATGGCCGAGGCGGCGGCCGGCATGGCGTGGCCTCTGCCGGCGGCGCTGTGCCCGGTGGCCAATTTCTGCTTCTACTCCAGCATGTACCTGAGCAGCCTCTTCCTGGCGGCGCTCAGCGTCCGGCGCTACCTGGGCGTGGCCTTCCCGCTGCGCCTGCAGGGCCGGCGCCGGCCCGGCCGCGTCCTGGCGCTCAGCGCGGCCATCTGGCTGCTGGCCTGCGGCCACTGCTCCATCGTCTTCGTGGCCGAGTTCACCAGGGACCCGCAGGGGGGCGGGGCAAACGGGAGCCAGGGGGGCGGGGGCGGGAGATTTGGGGGTCTTGATGGCGGTGACACCGTGGCCGACGCCGTTGACCCCGAGACTTTCAATCCTGTTGACCCCAAGACCAACTCCGTTGACCCCGTTGACCCCAAGACCTTCAACCCTGTTGACCCCATGGCCAACCCCATTGACCCCATTGACCCCAAGACCAATCCCGTTGACCCCATTGAACTCAAGACCTTCAACCCCATTGACCCCATGGCCAACGCCATTGACCCCAAGACCTTCAACCCCATTGACCCCAAGGCCAACCCCCTTTACCTCATTGACCCCAAGACCTTCAACGCCATTGACCCCATGGCCAACGCCATTGACCTCAAGACCTTCAACCCTGTCAACCCCATTGACCCCAAGACCAACCCCATTGACCTCATTGACCCCAAGACCTTCAACCCCGTTGACCCCATGGCCAACCCCATTGAACCCAAGCGCTTCAACCCTGTTGACCCCAAGACCTTCAAAACCATTGACCCCATGGCCAACCCTGTTGACCCCATTGACCTCAAGACCTTTAACCTCGTTGACCCCATGGCCAACCCTCTTGACCCCAAGACCTCCAACCCCATTGACCCCAAGACTCCCAACCCCAAATCCCCCAAGACCCCCAACCCCATTGACCCCAAGGTCAATTCCATTGACCGCAAGACCAACCCCAACCCCTCGAAGACCCCCAACCCTAAAAATGGCCAAAAAATCCCTCAAAAATCCCCCAAAAACCCAACAAAAATCGCCAAAAAATCCCCCAAAAATCACCAAAAAATTCTCCAAAAATGGCCAAAAAATTCGTCAAAAATCCCCCAAAAACTCCTCCAAAAATCCAACAAAGGTGGCCAAAAAATTCCCAAAAAATGGCCAAAAAATTCTCCAAAAATGGCCAAAAATCCCTCAAAAAATCCTTCAAAAATCTCCCCAAAATCCTCAAAATGTTCTTGAAAAATTCCTCCAAAATTCCCCCGAAAATCCCCAAAAATTCCACCCACAAATCCGCCATAAAGTCGCCCAAAAATGACCAAAAATCCCCCAAAAATGGACAAAAATATTCCCCAAAAATCCCCCAAAAATCCTCACAAAAATCCCCAAAAAATCCGAAAAAATTCCCAAAAATCCCCGAAAAAATCTCTCCCAAAACTTCTTAAAAAAACCCCAAAAAACTCCCAAAAATTCCCAAAATTTACCCAAAAACTCTTCAAAAAATCTAAAAATTAAAAATAATTAAAAGAAAAAAGGAAAATTTCCCAAAATAGTCGAAAATTGGGGTTGGACATGACGTCATGGCACACGTATGACGTCATCCACGCGTGGCGCCGCAGTGACGTCACACATCGGAACGAAACGCCGCCCAAATCCCCAAGCGCTCGCGACGGGCGGAAATGACGTCACGCCAGTCGCGACAGCGGCGATAGCGGCGTCCTTCCCGCCCTTTCGCCGTCGCCATGGCGACGGTCCTCCAGCGCCGCCCGCCCCAAGATGGCGGCGCCCCAAGATGGCCCCTCCGCCCCGCGCGCCCTTGGCGCCTCTATGGTCGCGAGCGCTCCTCGCGGCCTCAACCAATAGAAGCGCTCCGTGGGCGGGGCCAACCTGTAAATACACCAATCACACAGCGTAACGTCACGAAAGGGGCGTGGCCCACACCGCCCCTGACCCCGGAAGGCGGGACGGGAACTCAACCGTGAGGCGGAGACCAATGAGAAGCGCGTGAAGGCGGGAGTAAGAAGGGATTAACCAATCGGCGCGCGGGGGCGGGAAGCGCTGACCAATGGGAGCGCGGGGTGGGCGTGGCTTAGAGCTCGGCGCTCTCCGGCCGCCACCGCGTGAGTTCGGCGTGGGGGGGGAGGGGCGGCGGCGATTTTGGGGCGATTTCGGGCGATTTTGGGGCTTTTTGGGGTCACCCCCAGAGGGGTCGAGGAGGGGGCGGGGCGAGCTCCTCGGGGGAGGGGGTTTGGCGCGGCGATTTGGCGGGAATCGGCGGAGGGGCGATTTTGGGGTGAAATTTGGGGATTCCGGGGTTGAAATTGTCAAAAATTTAATTTTTTTTTTTTTTTTAAATTTCGCAGCCCCTCCCCCAGCATGGGCAACGTTTGGGCCGCATCACTCCCAAAATCATCCCGAAATCCCAAAAAATCAGCTCAAAATCCAAAAAAATCAGTCCAAAAAATCAGCCCAAAATCCCCAAAAATTCACTCCCAAAATCAGCCCAAAATTGCCCCCAAAATCAGCCCAAAATCAGCTCATAATAAAAAAATATCAGCCCAAAAATCAGCCCAAAATCACCAAAAAAATCACCACAAAATTCCAAAAAATCAGCCCAAAAATCAGCCCAAAAATGACCCCAAAATCCCCAAAAATCAGCCCAAAATCCCATAAAATCACCCCAAAAATCATCCTGAAAATCGGCCCAAAATCCCAAAAAATCACCCCAAAAATCACCCTGAAAATCGGCCCAAAATCCCCAAAAATCACTCCAAAACCCAGCCCAAAACCTCTCCAAAAATCAGCTTCAAATCCCAAAAATCAGCCCCAAAATTTCCAAAAATCAGCCCAAAAATCAGTCGAAAAATGACCCCAAAATGAAGAAAAACCAGCCCAAAATCTGCAAAATCCCCAAATTTCGCCCCCAAAATTCCCGAATTTCTCCCAAAATCCCAATTTTCCCCCTAAAATCCCCAAAAAAATCCCAATTTTCCCTCCCAAAATGCCTTGAAATCCCCTCAAATTCCCAAATTTTCCCCAAAATTCCCCAAAATTCCCACTTTTTCCCTCAGAATTCCCAATTTTCTTCCCCAAATTCCCAAAATCCCCAATTTTCCCTTCCAAAATTCCCAAAAAATCCCAATTTTCCTTCCCAAAATGCCTTAAAATGCCCCCAAATTCCCCCCAAAAATTCCCAATTTTTCCCCCAAAATCCCCAATTTTCCCTCCCAAAATGCCTTAAAATCCCCCAAAATTCCGAATTTTCCCCAAAAAAATCCCAAACTTCCCCCAAAAATCCCAATTTTCCTTCCCAAAATGCCTTAAAATGCCCCCAAATTCCCCCCAAAAATTCCCAATTTTTCCCCCAAAATCCCCAATTTTCCCTCCCAAAATGCCTTAAAATCCCCCAAAATTCCGAATTTTCCCCAAAAAAATCCCAAACTTCCCCCAAAAATCCCAATTTTCCTTCCCAAAATGCCTTAAAATGCCCCCAAATTCCCCCCAAAAATTCCCAATTTTTCCCCCAAAATCCCCAATTTTCCCTCCCAAAATGCCTTAAAATCCCCCAAAATTCCGAATTTTCCCCAAAAAAATCCCAAACTTCCCCCAAAAATCCCAATTTTCCTTCCCAAAAT